ATAGAAGATCTACTACAGGTTACTGCACATTTCTTGGAGGAAATCTTATGACATGGAAGAGTAAGAAGCAAGCGGTTGTGGCAAGGAGCAGTGCTAAAGCCGAATATAGAGCCATGGCACACACTACATGTGAACTAGTATGGCTGAGGAATCTCTTACAAGAAATCGGGTTCTCCATGGACAGACCTATGAAATTGTACTGTGACAATCAAGTTGCACTTCACATCTCATCTAACCCTGTTTTTCATGAGAGAACAAAGTACATAGAGATTGATTGCCACTTTGTGAGGGAGAAGGTCCTTATTGGAAAGTTAAGCACAGAACATGTGGGCTCAGGTGATCAATGGGTAGATTTGTTTACAAAAGGTTTAAACAAAGGGAGAGTGAACTATATATGTAACAAGCTGGGATTATATGACATATATTCTCCAGCTTGAGGGGGAGTGTTAGAGATAGCCAAATAAGGGTAGATTAGTCATTTTATTTCTATTAAGTTATGTGGCAGTTTTAATAGAGATTTTTTGTCCCATACTTAATGGGGGCAGTTTAGTCTTTATACAATTAATTAGAGGCTAATCTAAAATATGGTCGACTGATAGGGTTTACCCATCAGATTCGACTGTTCTTCCTTCTTCTTCTTCTTCTTTTCCTTCTTCTTCTTCTTTTCCTTCTTCTTATTCTTCTTCTTCCTCCCTTCTCTCTACTGGTTCAAACTCCTAAGCACAAATGTTAAACAAGTCCTAACTTGGTGGACAGGAAAGGGGAATCAGGTCTTTTATGTTATAAAAGAAAGGGAAATGGATAGATTTCAGATCTGAAATATAGGGAAAGGATGCTATGCTTTGGTGGTATATTGGCAGAAGATTAAGGACAACAACTAGAAAAAAGAAAAAAAAAAACTTTTGGATATAAAACAAAAGGGGAACTCAGGATTTGCAGCAGAGAAAGTTGCAGCAAAGAGAAGAAAAAATAGTAGAAGAGAAGAGGATGAAGAAAGATTGCACCTTTTAAGTGCTTACCTAAAATACCAACTTTTCTTTAGGCTGCAATGGGCAAGAGTGTAAATGCAAACATATTCAATGCAAATCCAAATATGCATGGTTCAAAAAAATTCAAAGTTGGCTTGGTTTTGCATTGATAACTTTTGTATTCTTTTTTTTTTATAGGAAACGGTAACTTTCGTTAGATAATTGAAAAGATTACAGGCTTACCACCCTAGTAATCAAAAACTTACAAACAGGCCCAAAACAATGCCTCCCTAGTAACTCCTTGCATAGCTAAAGTGCCAGCCATTCCATTTGCTGACTTTCTTACCCAATTAAAGTGCATCCCAATCTCCCTTGCTAAACTAATAATATCTCTTAGAGGTTGTTTGTTAAGGGCCCACAAATAGGATCTCGTCACATGTCGGTTAACGGGCAAAACTTCTTGTTTTTCCTTGTTTCTTCCTTTTCTCGAGGAACCTATCTTTAGTGCCTTTATGGTGATTTGTTAAAGAGATCACCCACTCTCCTCTGCTCTTTCTTGACTGAAATTATCGATAACTTTATTGAATATCATTTCCTCCTTTAAATAGGAAATTACAAGAAGATAAGAGTCCTTCTTTAGGAACACTTCCTAACAACATTTATCTTTAAATAATAATGCTACTGCCTAATTAATAGGAACACTGAATTTAGCTAAGAGATAAGATATGGACACTGAATCTAGCTAAGAGATAAGATAAGATAGGAACACTGAATCTAGCTAAGAGATAAGATAGGAACACTAAATTTAACGCCCATTATTGCTGCTGTCTGCGGCTGTATTTCTTATTACTGCTGCTGTCTGTGGCTGTATTTCTTTCCAACAAAAGCATCCACAGTATTACTCCCCTCCTGGACTAAGAGCTTGTCCTCAAGCTCGAATTCAGGATAGGTGTCTTGAAACACAGTCAAAGGAGTCCAGGTAGCTTCAGCCAATGGTAAGCTGGCCCATTCCACCAGAACCTCAACAGCACCTCGATTAATTCTGGAACGAATAATAGACTAAGGTTGGGGAATGATTTTGCCCTCCTGGATCGGGTTCCAATGAAGAGGGTTCATCCTCATCTTCCTCTTGTTCCACCAGGAGGCAGAAAAGTCTCTTGCACTTGTGCCCTGCTGAGTAAAGTTCATCACAATTAAAACACTGTCCCCTCGCCCTGCATTCCGCCATCTCAGCCCTGGACAAGCGCTTAATAGGGAGTGCAACAACGCTGCTTCCCACACTGGATGCTGATCTAGGATTGTTGCTCGTCTGTGGTTTCTGTTCTTGGCTGGCTGCTGAAGATGGAGCCATTCCGAGTGGTTTCGGGGCTGCCCATGTTGTTTGAGGCCGCCCTATACTGATACTTCCGCGGTTGAGTTGCAATTTGCGTTCAAAAGCGCGAGCCAAATTCATAGCAGTAACCAGATTGGGGGGATTTTGCATTTCCACATCCACCCTCAAAGTTTCCGCTAACCCCGTGGTGAACATGTCAACCTGTTGGTCTGGTCGTACTGAAGATGCTCTTGCAAGGAGGGTCTGAAACTGACGCTGATACTCAGCCACAGTTCCAATCTGTTTGAGGTTGATTAGTTCGTCTAATGGATTGCTTGTTAATGGGGCCCAAATCTGAGAAGGCAGTAAGATTTGAATTGGGTCCATCTGAGCCCAGGTTCCTCCTGCTCCAATTTATAAAACCAGAGCTGCGCCTCCTCTGTCATGTGGAATGCGGCTAAGCCTTCCTTGTCCCTATCCTCTGTCCGTTGGTTGCAGAAGAACTACTCACATCTGTACAACCATCCCAAAGGATCTCCAGTTCCATTATAGGAAGGAAATTCCAGCCTGCTGTATTTGGGAACAATCGCGGTTCCCTGTGCAATGACCTGCTGCTCGCTGGACGATTCTGCCATGTTTGGTCGGCGGCCGTCTATGGTTGCAGCCCCTTCTGAACTCTTTTCCTTGCCGGAAAAATATAACTCCATCAAGCGCCTCAATTCTCGGACGTCGTCCTTGATCTCGCGCACCTCCTTGCTGTTTTCAACGATTTTGTGCTCCAGATCATGAACCCTAGTCTTCAATTGCTCAAAGTCACTCATGACGCCTTGTTCTGATACCAAATTGTTAAGGGCCCACGAATAGGATCTCGTCACAGGTCGGTTAACGGGGAAAACTTCTTGTTTTCCCTTGTTTCTCCCTTTTCTCGAGGAACCTATCTTTAGCGCCTTTATGGTGATTTGTTAAAGAGATCACC